TCTATTAGTTTCAAATCTGTACATGCCAACAGCTACTGGTTGTTTGATGTTTGGTTTATGTTTTATGATGCTTTACATTTTATTAGTCTTATAGTTTTAATATGTTTTACTATTATATGTTTTTAATTATGTTATTTGTAACCTTTGTTTATATTGCTCTTCCTCTGTGCATGTGACAGGGCATTGTGGGCAAGCATACAGATGCTGTTTTGTTCTGCTCCACAGTTGCACACGGTGGAGGATTCTAGGTTGTGCCATTTTGTCAGGTTGTCTTTTGATTTTTTTTGTTCAAGTAAGGAATCCATTTTTTAAAAAAAAAATCATATCATATTTGAATGGGAAATGAATTAGTGCCTCTGGCAATATACAAATATATCTGTGTCATGTATACCTTGCAGATTTATAGCCTTTCTATATTTTTTCCACATAGGATAAACCCAGATCCCAAAAAGCAGTGTTCGAAAGAAGATGGTGGAGGCTGGTGGTACAATCGCTGTCATTCAGCCAATCCAAATGGGAGATATTACTGGGGTGGTTATTATACCCCAGAGATGGCAAAACATGGAACAGACGATGGGATTGTATGGATGAACTGGAAGGGGTCCTGGCATTCATTAAGGAAAATAAGCATGAAGATTCGACCAGTTTCCCAACCATCATGATGACTCTTTAAATAAAAAGTGGCAGGATTTTGTGTTCTCACCTGTTTCGTGATAATAACAGCAGCAACCTCTGCCATGTTTATGTGAATAAAATGCATTGTGATTGAAAGGAAAAATAGTTATGAATGTGCCAACTCCATTAAAACAACTTGCAAATATAATTTGTAATGTCTAGAAGGACTTGTACTCTTTAACGCCTTCTCTTCAAATGTATATTCATTTCATGCTATCTGTTCTTGCACATTGAAAGCTAGATTCAAAATAGAGGCATAACATGTTGTTGTCTCAATAATTCCATAGCACTGAGCTATGACAAAGTGGTGACAAACTGCATTAATTTTTGCTCCCTTTGTAAACAACACAGAGATGTCCGTATTTACCTAAATGCTAGGAGCTCTATGTTCATTGGAGCATAGAAACTGAGACACATGAGGCTAAGGAACATCAGGATGTGATAAAATGGCAGACGTTACTAATAAGAAAGAACCCATAAGCTAGATGAGGCTACAGGAGTTTGCTTTTGCCTGAGGTACTGGGAATGGCAGGGGTGTGCCTCTGCCTTCCTTCTCCCTTACTGAGTCAATGAAATGCAACTACTTTTAAACTTGGAGCTCATTTTGCAGAAATGAAAGTGATTTGAGGACACAGGAGGGTGGGAAAGAGAGAAAGAAACTGGGATATTTTTTAAGCAACTAAAAATGAAATGCCAGTGGATTAGTTGGGACTGTTACTCTGAAATCGCAATAGATGGAGAGTATATAAAGGACTTATTCAAAGGTAAATATGATACGCTTCCAATACAACCTTATGTAGGCACTCAAGAAGATAGTGAAACGGCAATAGCTTGTCTGGATTTTACACTGTCTTTATATCAGTGTAGGATACACCCTATGATTATGCCTGCTATCCTTACCTGCCTCGTTGTTGTTGCTGTTGTTGTTGTTATTTAGATACACAACAAAATTAGTACACAGCAAACAAGATCACTATACTGGCTTTTGTATTTGATCACACACCAGACACTTCCCAAGTGTCTACAATTGTGTGGTGTATCAGCAAATAATGCATGCAGATCCAAATAAGATGGCCTTTTGCAGCTGACATATGGTAATTTTGTCAACACCAATTGTTTTTAAGTGCAGGATAAGGTCTTTAAGCATGGTACCCAGTGTGCCAATTACCACTGGGATCACCTTTACTGGCTTGTGCCAGACTCTTTGCAGTTCAATCTTTAAATCCTCTTATCTTGTAAGATTTTCCAGTTGCCTATTGTTATTGTTATTGTTATTATTGTCATCTGTATTTATATCCTACCTTTCTTCCCATGGGGACTCAAGGCAGTTAACATTTATCCATACTAAACAGTTTTAAAAGAGCAATATCAAATTTAAAAAACAATAAAATAATAATAGTGTGGTAAAACAGAATTAAATTACAGCAAATAAATACATTAAAATTGCCTTTAAAATTAATACCCCCCCCCCAATCCCACTCACCCACCCTAGAGCCTCCTCTAACCCTTCCTCAAATCCCTGTTGGCAGAGGAAGGTCTTGATCTGCTTGCGGAAGGTCAGCAGGGATAGGGCCATTCTTGTTTCTCTTGGGAAGGAGTTCCACAGCCTGGGAGCAGCCACCGATAAGGCCCTCTTTGGCCACACATTCAAGGCAGACTGCCTGCCATTTTAATTTTCACACAATTTGGCACTGTCTATAGTTGGAAAGGAGCCGGCGCTCCAAGTAGTCAGGCTGGCCACATGACCTTGGACATGTCTACGGACAGCGCTGGCTCTTCAGCTAAGAAATGGAGATAAGCACCACACCCCAGAGTCGAAAACGACTGGACTTCATGTCAGAGGAAAACCTTTACCTTACCTATAGTTGGAAAGGGATAACTTGGCTCCCTAGAGGAAAGTAAAGGGCTATAAAAGAGAATGAAAAACATTGCCTCCTTGAAAACATTGGGAGTCGATTCCACCATAAGTTTGGCTGTCTTGTCATTTTAGACTCAGAAGCCTTTTTCCCTCATAGGAAGTTACCTAGAAGTCAACCACCTGCTGAAAAAATGGCTTATCCTCAGTCTAAAATAGCCCTGGGGCAAAAAGTGGACCAAAGGGGGGGGGGTTGGGGGGGCACAAAAAGACTCTTAGGTTGCACAAGTGCCATGAACCCTGTTTCACTATCCCTGCCCTAGAAAGACATTTGAATTGCTCCAGAGATTTAATGGTGAGCAATTTCTCAGGTTTTTTTTTTTCCATGTCAGGAGTGACTTGAGAAACTACAAGTCACTTCTGGTGTGAGATAATTGGCTGGAATCACTGGATTATTGTTAAGCTTTTCGGGCTATATGGTTCATCTATGGCAGGCGAAACATCAGGAGAGAATGCTTCTAAAACATGGCCATATAGCCTGAAAAACCTACAACAACCCATTATTTGCGAGTTAAATGCTTTTCCTTATTGTTTTAAATGCTACACTTCTACATAGTTAAAGACTAAATAGTCAGAACTGCCTTCTTCAATATTTCTTACTCTGCATGACAATCCCAGCTGGAAACACAAATGCAGAATCTTGCTTTCTTGGAACTGTATCTATTCTGAAAACAAATGTTATTGTGTGCCTTCAAGTCAGTTCGGACGAATGACGCCCCTTCGGCTAACCTATCAAAGAGGGGGTTTTTTTGGGCGGCGGGGGGGGGGGGGGGGGGGGGGTTGAACATGTGCAACTTGCCCAAGGTCATCTAGTGGGCTTCCGTGGCCACAAAGAGGTTTGAAGCATGGTTAGAAAATATGTGACGATTTCACTGTTAAACTGTGTAATCTTCCTTCCTATGTTTCTAGTTGATGCAGTCCAAGGAGTGAGTTTTTCTGTTTGGGAGTATCTCTGTCCTTGTCACATTTTCTAATATTTTCTAATAGTTCGTTGTTAAGAAAAGATTTCCTTGGTACATGCATGTTTCAAAAGAGTTTGTCCTTGATTATATCTTACTCAGATGATTTCCATTTTCCTATGTTAAATGCACCTCCCACCAAATGTTGTTGGACTGCAAGTCCCAGAAACCCTAGGCAGTATAATCAATGGTGAGGGATGCTGGGCTTCCCATTCAACATGTTATTTGCATGTCTGTGCCAGATACGGACCCACTCTTTAGAACTTGCTATCAGTTCGTTATGATTCTGTTTAGAGATCGGCAGCCAGATTGCTAACTGAAGCGCCATACAGGGAGTGGACAACTCCCATGTTACGGCAGCTCCACTGGCTGCCAGTCTGCTTCTGGGAAATACAAAGTGCTGGTTATTACCTATAAAGCCCTAAACAGTTCAGGTCCATGCAATTTGACATCCTGCAACCCCATTTATAAATCTGCTTGGACTCTGTGATCATTGGAGGGGGCCCCCGCTCAGTTCTACTCCCATCTCAAGCTCGGTTGTTGGGAACGAGAGAGAGGGCCTTCTCCGTGGTTGCTCCTTCCCTCTGGAACTCCCTCCCTAAAGAAATTAGAACAGCTCCCTCGCTTCTCCCCTTCAAGAAAGAACTAAAAACCTGTTTCTGTTTCTTGGCTTATGGAGAGAATGAATAATATCACTGATGCCATCTTAGTAGACCAAGTTGACAATGACTATTTAAGTTTACTTTCATTGAAGAGCTATATTTGTATATTTTTGTACACATGTTACCTGTTCAGTATGATCAGTGACGCCTGACTAATTGATTTATAACCTTTTGACCAAAGTCGTTTTCTCTGTTTTAATTGTATGTATAAATGTTTTGTTGTTGTTGTTGTTTTTTACAGTATTGAATGTTTGCCATGTTTTCATGTTATATTTGGAAGCTGCCCTGAGTTCCTTCAGGCCGAGAGGTGCGGGTTCGAAATAGTTTTTTATTTATTTATTATTTGGTTGTTTTTTTCTTCCACTTTTTATCCACCTGACCAGATCAGAATGCTCTTTGTAGGTGAACGATACATCCCAGCAACTACAACTCCGAAATGTCAAGGTCAAACTCCACCAGTGTTTATACCAGTGTTCACATTTGAGCATATTGACTATTCATGCCAAGTTTGGTCCAGATCCATCATTGTTTGGTCCAGATCCATCATTGTTAAGGGGTTGCGGCATTAGAGATTGAGAAAAATTGGTCTATATTATCAGCAAACACTAGTTTCTCATAACACCAGTTCTTGACATTGGTTTTAGTTCATTACTTGACATATTGTGTGGCTGTTATATGGCATAAAACCTACAAATGTTTTAACCATGAGATGCCCTCCCATCAGATATTTTCCAAAGATTTATGTATAGCGTTGGTTATAAATAAGTTAAGCACACTGGAAATTTCTTTGAGTGAAGCTGTTTATTTTATTTAATAGGCAGAGGTCTCTCAATTGCATTTAATTTGTTTGCTTTGGAATATAAAATGCATATGAATACACACACAGAAAAATCCATAACATTGAGGTATATATAATTTGAGACGTTGCCCCCCTCCCCAACAGCTAATCTGTTGCTATAGGGCGAATTTTCATTCTAGAAACTTTAAGAGAGTAGTCAGAGGGCTTGAAGGGTACCCAAACCACCCCGTTTTCAGTTTCATAGGGAACATTGTTCCTTGGGTCATACTGACCCCCTGGGTAGTAAATCCCATTGAGATTAGCAGCTTGGCAATTATTGTACCACCAGCCACCTCCATACACTTCAGCACAGTTTTCTTCCCACTGGTCACTGTCTCTATCAAAAGTACTGAACTTCATGTTAGTGTGAGCAGTGTATTCGCTGCCTTCTTCCTCTGAGCCTTTGATAAGAGCATCCCCAGCTGTCCCCACATAGTCAGACACACTGAGTCTATAACTTTCTGATTCAGAACCTATATGTATAATATACTCTGCATAAGCTTCATTGCCTGCCCAGTCCTCTACTTCAACCCGGAGGACCGTGTCCTTCTGGGTCAATAGGTAGAGGTTTTCATTGCCCAACCAGAACTCTCCTTTCCCTCTGTCATCCACGTTGCCGAAACCCTTCTTGTAGTCTTCCCAGGTCCGGTTAAAATTCAATGACCCATCCAATCTCTGTTGGATCAGAAGCCATCCTCCCAAAGTGGTCGCTTGGTCGCAATATACTGAAAAAACCTTAGCGGATCCTGCTGGCTTGATTCTGAAAATGCCACTTTGGGCACCAGAAGTGTGTTTTTGATGGATATCCTCACAGTCTAAAAAAACAAAGTTGATCTGGTTGGCAGGGATTTTCAGTAAAGCTTTATTACAAGGTCACAGGAATCCAAACAGTAATCATGCTGAAGTCAATTGGCTATACTTAATTTAGTGCTACAGTAGAAAAACAATTTTCACCTTCCCTGCACCCCAAATTTATCACTTTTCATGCAAATTTTTATTACAGATGAAACTGTGTGTGCAACTGCCTTGCTATTCAATTACTTATGATAAGAACACATTGTTCCGTGCCTTTTCTAAATGGCAAGAAACAGACACACTGCTTGTCTTGTTTAAAAAGTGTCATGAATTGCAGTAAAGGTTTTAGCCTGTGTCAGTTCGTTGCAAACTTCACTCTTGTTCCCTTAACAATTATTTTCCAGGAAGTGGACGGATACCTGTCCCGGTGTAGCTTTCCCCCAGCTTCACTCCTCCTGTGGCCAAGCTCCGTGCGCGGAAATCAGGATTATCCTCTGCACTCTCGTCATGCTGCACCACTTCTGAGACTTTTAGTGACTTGGTTTCAAAAGCAGAACCCCCTTTATTGAAGCCTGTAGTACTGCTACTGCTGGACACAACAGTCTTGGAATGGCCTGAGGTGGCGCTACTTGTTCTAGAAGGGAATCCATGAGAAGGGTCATCAATTCTTGAGAAATCATCATAATCTTCTTCATGTAGATGAGAGAAAGAGTCTGGTCTTCCAGGTGTTGCCACGTGGCTGGCAGTTTCTGGCACTCTGCTGCCATGACCAAAGTTAAAAAAATCTCTTACGTCTGGGTCAAAGGAAGAAAAGTCAGGCAAGCCGCTTCCTCCACCACCACTACTAGTGGTCTCTTTGATATGATGGGTGCCTCCAGCTTCTTTGACCAGTCCTTTCAAGTGGGTACAGTCTGAACCATCAGGAGTTTTAAACTCTTCAACAATCTCTTCTTTGATACCTTGAGGGCCCTGAATTACTTTTTTGGTGAAGGTTCTGATGCAAGTCTGTGTGACATGGCCAGTCGCAGAAGGTATAACTTTCATATCAGAACCACCTCCTCCAGGCTGGTTGTATCTACTTGTCTCTGCTCCAGGCATGACATATTTGGTGTCCACTGGAGTTCCTCTGGACTCTGCTGTTGAGTCTTCCAATACTGCTTCAACCAGCTTTATATGACCGAGTATGTTTGCTTCTTGTTCAGACAGAGGAGCAGTTTTGAAATGGCTAGGAACAGTAGACTCCTTCAGGGGTCTCATTTTCAGTATCCTCATAGGTTTTGTGTCAAATGTTGGTTCAAGATTGATGGAACCGGACTGTATGAGCTGTTTCTGTATGTTGTCATAACTGTCTGTGTCCACATGGTAGTTGTAAGTTCGAGCACAAGATCCTTTGCAGGCACGTATCTTAATATCAATGTCCACCTAGATAGAGATGGATGAGGGAAAGATATAGACCTTCAAATATTTACACAGTGATCCCTCACTCAAATCAGGAAATTCTGTTTTTCAAACACTGGGCCATTATGCTAATGGCAGGCTCACTGCTTCTTGAAACAGTGGCTAGGCTTTTGCGATATATAATACCCTCTGCAATCTCATCTGTAACAGTAAACCAGACCCAAATTCAGAATTTTGGGTGGCATGAAAGGATCCTGTGGGCCTATAAATCCCAATAGCCCGGAGGCCGTGCTAGTCTGAGAACTCCAGGTGCTATCCTCCTAAAAATTCTGTTTTGAATCTCTAATGTACATCTACATCTACATCTACAGTTTCTTAAATCCCTCCTCAACACCATGAAGGTTTTATTGTGGTCCAGCATACACAAAAAAATCTGTCTTGAGAAACTGAATGGCACAATTTACCTCCAAACGCTTCAGCTCCCCAACTTGATTTCTGATGGTATTCTGCAGGACTTTAATCCTGTTTACTTGATTAAAAACTCTTTGTTTCAGTGTCACAAGTCTCCTCCTCAAATCATCAGAAATTTGCCCATAGCTGTCGTCTAGCGCTGAAGGAAAAGAAACAATTGGTAAGAGGTTTCCCCCATGCTAGTTATTTAATAGAAATACTAATTCTGGCATATAAAGATAAGCATGTTTATTAGATATAGGAAAATTTGCTCAGATTGTACTTTTACTCCGGCTGCCAGTTGGCAACCAACTCAAATTGAAAGTCTTGATGATAATATTTAAAGCCCTAAACAGCTTAGACCAGGGGTCCTCAAATATAAGACCAGAGGGCCGGATACTGCCCTCCAAGGTCATTTACCCAGCCCTCGCTCATGGTCAACTTAAGTCTGAAAATACTTGAATCACACAACAACAATCTTATCTCATCAGCCAAAAGCAGGCCCACACTTTCCACTGAAATACTAATAAGTTTGTATTTGTTAAAATTGTTCTTCATTTTAATTATTGTATTGTTTTTACGTGTTTTTTTTATATAGATGTGTAGTGTGCGTAGGGATTCATTCATGGTTTTTCAAATTATAATCCGGCCCTCCAATAGTTTGAGGGACTGTGACCTGGCCCTGTGTTTAAAAGGTTTGAGGACCCCTGGCTTAGACCCTCAATACTTCAAGGAGCTCCTTTCCCTATATATATATTTATCTGAGGATAGAGCTCTACAGGAAAGAGGTTTAATGTTTTAATATATTATTATCTTTAGGCTAGAACTGTTTAAAATTGTTTATCATTTTATCTGTCTGCCAAACTGAAATCCTAATAATAATAATAATAATAATAATAATAATAATAATGATACATTTTATTTATTATCCACCTCTCCTGGTGGCTCAAGGCAGGGTCCCACAATTAAAAAAAATCTTGCCAAGGAAACCCAATGGTAGGCTCACTTTAGAGTCACCATAAATAAAAAATGACTGGAAGATACACAACAATAAGAAATGTGTACACATGAATGGCTCTGGAGACCAGGATTTGAATCTCCCCTTGAGCATAGAAACTTACTGATGGCCTAGGGCAACCCACAGAAGGAGCCAAAGGAAACCCACCACTGAACAACTCTTGCCAAGAATGCCCTATGATGGAGTTGCCTTAGGATTGCTATAAATCAGAAATTACTTGAAGGCACACAACAACTATATCTGTAATGTCTGTGTTTTATCAGAAAGAGCTATTTAGAAGAGGACCTAAGAGGGGTCCACTTAAAAATTGCATCACATACATATGTTATTTTGCATTGTGGTGTAATGGCCCCTGTCCCTCTCCTTCTAATACATATTTTTGTGTTCATCTCATATTATTCACATTTTTTACTAACGAGCACAGGAAAAGCAATAATAAAGGACAATGACTTGGATTTGTCATATGTTTAGGACTATCTCATCAGTCTTTTGGAAATAATATAATCCTCTCAGGAATTTAGTTTAAAACAGTAAGCTAAAACGGGGAGAGAGGGTACAAGTGTCTGTGTGAGCACTGTCACTTCTCACACTGAAAGACACTGAAAGAACAATAGACCTTCATGTGATAAAGTTGGGATCCCATTCATTTGCACTCAAGAAGTAAAGGTACTCTGAGATGTGTGTGCCATCATGCATTTCTTTGGCATTAATATCTAGGTATATAAGTATCAAGGAGATAGATCAGTGGTTCTCAATCTGTGGGTCCCCAGATGTTTTGCCCTTCAACTTCCAGAAATCCTAATAGCTGGTAAACTGGCTGGGATTTCTGGGAGTTGTAGACCAAAACACCTGGGTACCCACAGGTTGAGAACCACTGAGATAGATGAACATTCATTCTTGGATAGTAGGATCATCCAAGATCATCCCTGTCATTAAACAGAATGGGGTGGCAACTTTTGTAACAACCAACAGCAAATGTTGGTTGTTACAAAACAGCATCAAAGATTTTGTATATGAATTGTTGTATTTTTATTGGACGGGTAAAACATTTGTGGGATTTTCTGTCCCAAAATAATCTGATTGGCCTTGAATATCTTGGCTGGGAGAAGGGAATGCAATTTGTTGATAGGCCCAGAGGAACAAAATGATTTGGGTCTTCTTTGGTGGATCGTGCAGGCCTCATACCTAACAAGGGGACAAAATGCATCCTCAGAATTATTTAAAATGGAGTTGAATATACATCAAGCAGACTACTTTTGGAAGGAAAGATGCGGAAAGCTTATTTGAAAGGTTTAAACTACAATATTGGGTGACAATGAAGATTATTTCACTGTGCTATCGAAGGGGTTGGATGGTCTAAGGGGAGCTAAATTGTTCCTCATCCCCAATTATCTCAAATTATAGGTTCATCCCTGTGTCAAGTTATGGTAATGAAGAAGGAGCCGGTTTACATTTTAGCTCATTTAATGTTGCACAAACGTGTTTTTTTTATCGTGTCATCAGCAACCATTGTATTACAATTCTAACAGAGCAAAACAAACACAGAGATTAAAAAGAAAAAGAAAAGAAAGAAAGAAAGAAAGAAAGAAAGAAAGAAAGAAAGAAAGAAAGAAAGACCAGACGACTTGAAGCACAAACGTGTGCAAGAAAAGAAACATTATTTTCAATTGGTGATTTTTCATCATCAGAAGACAAGACAGTTTTGGGGGGTACAACTCACCTTGTTCATCGACCAGATTCCTTTCTAGAAAAGAGGTGACCTCCTGTTTCAGAATATTTGATTTCTTATAGCTGTTTTGATTATCTGAGAGCAATTTCTTAATTTTGTTTATCCGGTTGTTGAATTCCTGATCCGTTTCATCTATCAGTCCCTGCATCCTGCATCCTGAAGGACATTTAATGCCCTTAAGGAAGAAAATAGTAAGAAGAAAAAAGCATTCAAACTTCTGCTGAAACCACTTAATTGTTCCACAAGCTTTATATGATGAAAGTAATCTGTCTAATAGGAACATGTTATGGTTCTAATTTGTTTATGTTTCATTGTGATAACAGCATTATAACGGTTTTGACATATGTATCCTTAAGAAGTATGTCCTTTAAGGCTTCCATGACACCCCTGTCCCTATACATAAATAAGAGTATTTAAACAATTTGAAAGGGGCTTCATTTATAGCAGTGGTTCTCAACCTGTGGGTCCCCAGATGTTTTTGGCCTACAACTCTGAGAAATCCTAGTCAGTTTACCAGCTATTGGGATTTCTGGGAGTTGAAGGCCAAAACAGGTTGAGAACCACTGATCTGGAGCAGTGGTTCCCAACCATTGGTCTTCCAGGTGTTTTGAACTCCCGCTCCCACAATTCCTAACATTTGGTAAGATTGCTGGGAGTTGAATCCCAAAACATCTGAAGGACCAGAGATGGGGAACCACTGCTCTAGCGTAATCTCATTTATTTGGACCCAAAATTAGTCAGAGAAATCCGTTGCATCTGTTGACATCAACAAGTTAATCATGACTAATACTGTATAAGTCGATTTGTTTGTATCTGTTCTGATTCAGTTTCAATACTGGTGTTAAGCAGAAGATGCCAAATGCTAAACTTTGCAATCTAGTCCTTTAATCTCACTAGATATTCTAGTGCTTAATTACATAACCTCAAAGTAGCACAAAGTATTTGGCTTGGAGATATAAAAGAAGTTTCATACAGATCTATTCTTACTCTACCATGTTTATTATCTTTTTTTATAAATCACATCCCTTCATTTTAATCTTCACTGTCTTCTTCTGTTGATATGGCCAAAATGTAGTCACTTAAATGTCACTGAAGTTAATGGGAGTTAAGAAGACCCATACATTAACGAATATGCATATATAGTAAATGATAAACATGTATACTTTCTCTTAAATCTTTTAAGTTTTAAGCTAATTTTAGAAATGGGGCTACAAAGTTGAGTCCATGACATGTGAGTCTGGAGAAGAGCAAACCAGAGACCACTGATTACAATGCAGCCTGAGCCCTGCCACATGCACAATGGAGGGCCTTCTTACAGCAACACCAGAGGCACTCCAAGTGGTCAGCTTCTGGTCAAAGGACATTTAGTATAATGCCAAGTTTTTAACTTTGCTTGTGGTTTTTCTATACATTATAACTGTATTCCCAATTGGCTTCTGACATGATAAATAAATAAATCTGAAGACTAAGTTCTGTAATAAGCAGTCATATGTAATTAATCTATAATGCTTAGGAAGCTAAGTATGGCAAAAACAAATCCCCCTGAACTTTGATTTAATGCCCGGTAAATGCAAAGAATTATAGCCTGAATCAATTTCTTAGCAGATTTGGGGGTTTGTTTTGTTTTGTAGATATATGTTTCTTTAAAATTACGTAAAATTCGTAAATTTCTCATTCAAGTTAATCTAAAAATTGAAGGCCGCAACCCGTTGTGGAAATTGTTGAACTGTGTACATCTTGCTGCATTACATACACCTATGATCTTTATGTCTATTACTCTGCAACCATAATGTTGTATTGTGTGATTGGCTAATACATTTCAGCTTCTGCATTATCTGTTAGCTCACCCATTCATCATCAGAGCATGTTGGCCAACTCTTTTCTGCCTTGCAATGACCCTGGGCTTTATGCTCCACTATTCTAGGGCCACGTACTCCTCCTCCTTGTTCTTCAAAAGTGCTTCCTTGTTCTGTTGCCTGTCATGGAGAAGAATAGGGGAAACATCCAAATTAAGACTGAATTGGTTTCATGGTAATAATTATTTTAGTTAAAAATAACAACACTCTATGTACCCATACTAAAAAAAAAAGCTGTACTACTTGCAAGTGCATTGAAAAGAATGTAGGTTTTCATACATGGATATTTGCTTTCATTAGAATATTTTCAAAATTTGAATTACGTACTGGTTTATTATTATTATTATTATTATTATTATTATTATTATTATTATTATTACTTTATTTGTACCCCGCTAGCATCTCCCAAGGGATTCGATGTGGCTTACAACAGGCCGGAGCCCAACACAATACAACAATACAATACATAGCAAATAAAACAGTTAAAGCAGAAAACAATAGCAATAACAATACAACAGGTTTCCATTACTGCTGTTAGAATCAACTCCAATTTATCCAAGGAACACAATTCTTACTTGAAAACTCAGTGATGTTAAACCAAATATGCTGTTTTTAGCATAACTATGCTTTGAATCTAGTCTACAGATATTAAGGCAAGTATTGAGGAAGGTTTCATTTGGTTTTAATTTCATAATTACAACCCGGACCTAGGAAAAGTTTTTGGACTGCAACTCCCATAATCCTACAGGTAGAATTATCACAAACGTATTGACCAAAAAAATAACCTTTCTAGTTTTGTTCAGACCAAAACACAAATCACTTTCCAAATAAATGCTCAAAATATGGTAATTCCTTGGAGTATCCCTTGAATATAGAGTGAACCACTTTTCCATAAAATAGATTTGAATCCAGAGTAACTTATTTTTACATTGATCCTATTTAAATCAATGTGAAAACATGACCAGACACTCACTGATTTTACTGGGACATCATTATGACTGTTTTGCTTTTGTGTTGCTAGTTTTTAAAAAGTTGTACATAGTATTTCCATAAAAATGCATCACTATATACATTTAATATTTTTGCAGAGCTATAAATGCCACTTTACAAGTCATTCTGTATCTTCAGTGCTCACTAAAGCGTATAGTTTCATGCCATTATTGAAGCCTTTGTAACATCGACACAGATAGTGATTACTCATTGTGACTTACTCAAATATCGAGTTACTGGAAAAAATATAGAAATTATCAAGTCACTATGACATAAGTGATTTTTGACATAACTTTTATTGTTACGGTAATAAAAGTGTTGTTAAATGGTAAAGTCAATAATTAACAACTCATATGGAATACAACCCACCTCATTCAAAATCCATCAGTTTTAATCATGCCGAATGTTTAATTAATGCAAGTAGACTGAATAAGAAAATGTGGTATAACTCTGATGGCTGCATGACCACAGATGGATTCAACAAACTTGTAAATTATATTTTAATATCAAATGTTCTCCTGACTCAGGTTCCAAGTTCTGAAGTGAGGGAGAAGTTGATTTTCTATCAGAAATACTTTAATAATAAATAGTAAAGAAATAAGTAAAGGTAAAGGTGTCACCTTGACATTAAGTCTAGTCATGACCAACTCTGGGTGATGGTGCTCATCTCCATTTCTAAGCTGGAGAGCCGGCATTGTCCTAGGTCATGTGGCCAGCATGACTGCATGGAGCAATGTTACCTTCCTGTAGAAGCAGTACCTATTGATCTACTCACATTTGCATGTTTTTGAACTGCTAGGTTGGCAGAAGCTGGGGTAATAATGGGAGTTCACCACGTCCGTGGATTGAAACCACCGACTTTCCAGTCAGCAAGTTCTGCAGCTTAGTGGTTTAACCCGCTGTGCCACAACAACCCCATATAGTAAAGAAATAGTAAATAATAAATAGTAAAGAAGAGTGTGTATGCTTTTGGGGTTTGGATTTCATTCAAAATACCCTAGTGGTTTAGTTTTTGAAATTAATTGGGGGTACAATTCTATACTTACTGATTCATTGGAGTGAATTGAACTTAATTCTTAGTAGATTTGCACAGTCAGATTTTATTATAATAGAACTGTAAACCCACTTTTTAAAACCCTCATTTTTGGCATAGAATAATAATTCTTATAAAAAATAATTCCTATAGCATAGAATTAAATCATTTCAAGGAGTACCTAAACACTCTTTCTGGATTTCGTATAAAGCAGATACACACACATATAGGCATATACTATCAATATATCAATCTACCAAAGGAGGTGTCCCAACAAGCCTGGATGTGCATCCACTGCATATGATTTTAATAAATTGATCCCACCAATATAGCTAGAGACTGGAGAGCTATTTATGAGCTATCTTTTGATGGAGAAGCACATCTATATCAAAGGGAGTTCTTGTGACCTGCTTAACCAGATGTGGTTGAGCCATAATCTCTTTTTTTCTATATACACAAATGGAAGTAAGGTTGCATCCTTGCTGTCAGGTATACCAAAAACTACCATCTCCAGTTTAAGCATTTAAAAAGTAAAAAATTGCAATTTCCTGCTTTCTGTAGGTTAATTTTAGTTGCAATATATCAATAAATACATAAGCAATGGCAAGAGCAAACATCAATATAACTGCTAAAGAAATAGAAGTGTCAGATAAAATTAACACATTTTCATACCCAGGCAATGCTGAAGCACAGAAGTGCACAGAGGACTCTCAACTGAAGCATCTTTAGAAAGATGTAGATGGGAGGCAGAGGGCTGTTTTTCAAAAAAGATTTCTTTGGCTGAATTTAAACCTTATCTTTTCCTGCTTCCCTCCCCCTGCCTCAACCACCCAGATTAATTATTAGCTTTTCTTCTGTTTGCAGGGTCATAAGGCAATATGTAAGTGTGGTGACCTGGGATCTATTGCACAAGCTCTTAACTTTGTTTGTTGGAAGGCTTTGCACAATGCCAGAATCCAAGGGGGACAGATGGGAAAGGGCAATCCAGACATATTCCGGGAAGGGTTTTGCCAGAAGTTTGGAACAGATTGTTTATAGGTAAGATCATTGGAGAACTTTAAATATCACACAGGCACCAGGCTCTGGTCTTGGAAACTAAATAGGGTTTGCCCTGATTGGTACTTGTATGGTAGTCTGCCAACAAATGTTCAGTTGTAGGCTATATTTCAGAGGAAGGCAATGGCAAATTTTTGCTTATGAAAACCCTACAAAATTCATAAGATCTCCACGAACAGGCAATTTATAGGTACATAAACACACAAGTAAGACATGCTATCTAATTATTGGAAAATGTCAATGTGCTATAGCGGGTATTTCTTGAACTGCATGAGTATCATGTCTTAGAACATAGCAAGGGACATGCCACCTTGCAGTCCATGTTGTTGATGTCATAATGAAGTGTTTCTCAACCTGGGGGTCGGGACCCCGGGGGGGGGGGTCACAAGGGAGTGTCGGACGGGTCGCCAAAGACCATTAGAAAACACAGTATTTTCTGTTGGTCATGGGGGGCTCTGTGTGGAAAGTCCGGCCCAATTCTATCGTTGGTGGGGTTCAGAATGCTCTTTGATTGTAATTGAACTATAAATCCCAGCAACTACAATTCCCAAATGTCAAGTCTATTTTCTCTAAACTCCACCAGTATTCACATTTGGGCATATTGAGGATTCCTGCCAAGTTTGGCACAGATGCATCATTGTTTGAGTCCACAGTGTTCTCTGGATGTAGGTGAACTACAACTTCAAAACTCAAGGTCAGTGCCGATCAAACCCTTCCAGTATTTTCTGATGGTCATGGGAGTTCTGTGTGCCAAGTTTGCTTCAATTCCATCGTTGGTGAAGTTCAGAATGCTCTTTGATTGTAGGTGAATTATACATCCCAGCAACTGCAACTCCCAAATGACAAAATCAACCCCTCCCCAACCCCACCAGTATTTAAATTTGGGCGTATCGGGTATTAAGGGCATTCGGAAGGTTTAGAACCACGGTCATAATGGATCACATAAGAACCAGAAGTAGGGGTATAATGTCCCCCATTAAAATGAATGAATACTGCAAATTGATCGCACTTTAACTACCATGATTCTATTTTGATAGAATCCTGTGATTTGTTGTTTAATAAAGCATTTCAGATTTTATCCCAGTCCCCGATTTGGCTGTGCTAAAACACTTCAGCACAGGATTCGAAGTAGAGCACAAAACAACCAATCCCAAGGTTGCACAAGATGAGGCCATGACAATTAAGGAGACACAACTTTAGACTTCAAGTAAAAAAAGTATTTGATCTCTAACAATTAATAAGTCAATCTAAACTACACCTCCTACCTAAACAGGGAGGCTTCTTGCCTCAAAGGCAAGTAATTGGAATGATTTCTTTGTACACTATTTGTTTTTATCAACCGATCTTTCATTGGAGCAGTCTTACAGCAATCTGGGGCTCTTCCATACAGCCTTATATCCCAGAATATCAAGGCAGGAAATCCCACATTATCTGAGTGTGGATTCAGATAACCCAGTTTAAAGCAGATATTGTGGGATTTTCTGCCCTGATATTCTGGTTTATAGGGCTGTGTGGAAAGACCCAAGGGCTGCTCTCGTTTCTTGAATTATGGATTTTAAAATACTCCAAGTTGCTCAGGAATGATTCTCTTCTTTATTATCTGCCATTACAAGAGTCGGGTAACAAATAGTAAAGGTAAAGGTAACAAATAGAGATGCTGTTGTTGTTGTTGTTGTTGTTGTTGTTGCTTTCCTTCAAACCAGTGGACTTCAAAAGAATGACTTGGATAAACTCCCTTTTGCACAGAGATACCTTGGGATGTTTACCAACATCCTTGACATTTCATTTCTCCACAACCACTCTGCTTGTTAAAGAGAGAACTAATCCAATCTGTCATAATTTACCTTTACTTACTGACTTCAAAGTCTAGGGCCCGCTGAGTCACTAGGCAATGAAGCAACTATTTCAGATGATATACTGCAGAGGGGCATCACCAGCCTCTCATCTGTTCCTCTTGAGCTCTTGACTTTCCCCATCTCAGGGCCCTTCCACACAGCCATAAACCACAGAATATCAAGGCAGATAATCCAGAATATCTGCTTTGAACTAGATTATCTGAATCCACGCTGCCATATAATCCAGTTTAATGTGGATTTTATACAGTTGTATGGAAAGGGCCTCAGAAGAATGAGGCCCCTTCCACACAGCTCTATAA